CGGATGTGAGCAGAGTCAGGCGCACCCGCAGAAAGCCACCGCCGTGACTGCCAAGGCCCCCGGAGAAGGCCGGGGTCCCCTGAGGCCCAGTGTGGCCTGGGACATCCTAGCAACCCTGGGCTGAAAGGCCAGTGGGACCCCCTGAGCTCTGTCCCAGGCCCTGCATGGAGCCTAGTGACACAGGCTGGGTGGTCTGAACCGTCTGTAGGCCCCAACCCCCTCCAGGCTGAGCTGAGCCCGGTCTCAGCACAGTTGACTCAGGCGTGGCCTTGAGGTTGCCCACACAGCCTTTCATTCTCAAGCACAGACATTTAAGGTTGAATTTCTCAAGCACAGAATGTGAGGTAGAATTTCTTACAGAGGTGCCAACTCTGCAGGGGCCTTGGCCTGCTCCCAACCCTCAACAGACTTGAAGACTTACACACATCCTCCTAGTCCTCACTGCCGAAAGAGAAGTAAATCCATTAAAAATTTTTTTTTATTGATTTCAGAGAGGAAATGAGAGGGAGAGAGAGAGATAGAGACATCAATGATGAGAGAGAATCATTGATTGGCTGCCACCTGCAACCCCCACACTGGGGATCAAGCCCACAACCTGGGCATGTGCCTGACCAGGAATCCAACCGTGACCTCCTGGTTCCTAGGTCAATGCTCAAAAACTGAGCCACGCCGGCCGGGCATTAAATCCATTTTTAAACCGTTTCTCAGAGCACCTTCTTCACACGGTCCTGGGGGTACTGTTGGATTGGTTTTCTAGCTCCTCTCCCTCCTCACTAACGTGTCAGAGTCTAACCATAGCCAACGAGAGAGAAGCTGCCTCACAGATGTGCTGGCTACATGCTTGTTTTTACTGTCAGAGCCACGCTTGCTTTCTGCTTTCCTAAATAGCACATAGAAAAACTAGTTTAAATCAGCTTTAAGTCTCTTGGGATCCCTGCATTTTTCTTGCCGTGTTTTCAAATAGCCAGTCATAATCTCTACTATTTGGAAAGCTTGGGTTCCTAGTTCAAGTGCAATATTTATGTTTCCTCACAGTTTTGGACAAGATTACTGTGTTGTTTTTTTAACCCAGCGGCCATTGGATTACCATTGAGTTTATATTTATCCTTGATTTTGTTATCACAGATTCATTTTGTAGAGAAAGCCCTAAACTTGGCCTTCTATTACCTTTTATTTTTAAAAAATTTTTTTCACTTGTCAATCCTCACCCAAAGATATTTTTTCATTGATTTTTAGAGAAAGTAGAAGGGAAGGGGAGAGACAGAGAGAGAGAAACATCAATGTGAGAGAGACACATTGATTGGTTGCCTCCCACAGGAGCCCCAACCAAGGCCCGGGATGGAGCCTGCACCCCAGGTACGTGCCCTTGACCGGAACCGAACCCGAGACCCTTCGGTCTGCAGGCTGGCGCTCTGTCCACTGAGACAAACCGGCTAGAGTACCTTTGCTGCTTTTAAATCTAAGACCCTGAGATGTTCTCTGTGTGAGCCCACGAGCCCTGAAGAAACACCCTTCAGATTCAGAAAACGTCCTATCAATTGTTAAAGTCTCAAGTGCAATTCTTTCCTCAGGCCCCAGAATTACAGAGCATCCCAGCCTCCCCCTCCACAGGGCCCTCCCCCTCCCCCACTGAACCAGGGAATTCGTGTTTCACAAATAAGGCCCTTCGAAGGTCTGCTTGCTCCCACCCTCGCTGCTTTCTCTCAATGGCCACGTCAGGGGCCCATCATTATCTGCCAGCGGGGGACTGGAACCGGCTTTAATCCCAACCCAAGAAGGCAAGGTTATAGGAGGAGGGTGTGCAGGAAGAGGCGGGGTCAGACACATAAGCTTCATAAATAATTGCTCAATTGAGAAAAGGATCAATTCTGGGATTTGGGAGATGACAAGGAGTAAGATGAAGTAGCCCAGATAAAGGCTTTATGAAAGCAGCCATTTTAACAGATTGTTTAGGCAGAGGGCCAAGTCCATCTTCGAAATGAGTTCACATCTTTATTGTGCCGGTAGCAGCTCGTGATGCCATGCTGGAGGGATACATTAGAGCTGTCCATTGCACCCCCGGGACTATACATTTCTTGTGGTCAGGGACCATTTTAGAACTGATAACAGTGCCTAGCAGAGTGCTCAATAATTACTGAATGAGTGAGTGAAGGCGAATGAAATTCTTGAACACACACACTACCTTTCCCTTCCTCCGCCTCTTCAGCGGCCATGTATGTTCTCTGCACAGCTGAATCCCGATGCCTACCCCAGGGTCCTGCACAGGGATTCTCGGCAAATATTGGGTGACTGGTTGCCATAGAACAGCACACGCTTTTTGTATGATCAAAGTATGTGTGTGGAAAGTCATGCCCCATAACCAATCTTCCGGGGACATGCCTAAGTTGAGGCTATAAACAGTGTATTGTCTTCTTGCCTCTTCGTGTGGGTGAGAAGGTGGAAATGATTCTGTGTTCCTTTGATTACAAGTTCATTCCAGGACCGGATCTGGGGTTGGGCGGCACGGTCAATTCCAGGAAGTCTTGCAGGTGATAATGTTGCAAAACAAAGCAAAAGAACAGCTGTTTTCTAGCCTTTGTAAGCAGTTAAAGCTACTTCTATTTCCACTCTGTGAGGCAGATTGGTTTTAGAGTTATTTGCTTTGAAGTTAAAATTAAATTTATTCTCATTATTCCAGCATACTTTAGATTGTTTAAGTTCCATATTCTATTCTCACACGAATAAAAGCAAACATAAAATGTCTCTTACCTCCGCTATTCCTATTTGTGTTGTATTATTTGTGATATTGAAATTGTGTGCTTTTAGATGGAACGTTTTACACTGTTATTTGATCTACCAAAGAGTCCAAACATTATTTCCCACGTGCATTGACTGGAAAAGAATTCTGGGCTATCTGGGCATCTGTGGACATCATTTGTTAAATGAAAAGGAAGGTTAATCGCTTTTTTTCCCAAATAGAAAGAGCTTTAGTGTTTTTCTGATTATGAAAACTACACAGTCACTGCAAAAAGAGGTCAGGAAAAATAAAAAAGAAAGTCAAAACCCTATATAATCCCGCGTTCAGGTTATTGTGCTATTCATTGTAGGGTATGTATGTCTAGGCTTTTTCTCTGCATGTATAGTCATGCCAGTGCAATTTTTTAAAAATTGAAAATGGTATCATTCCACAGATATGGCTTTAAAATGTGTTTCTCCCCCTTGACAACTTTGAGATTTTCAGGGAGAAAAACGGGGAACGTGAACTTTAGGAAGTTTTGCTTTCTAGTATATGGAGTGGTCTAATTTCCCCTTCGCACCCCCATTAACACAGCTTCTATAACAATCTGCATTACTCTTTGAATCTGTCAGGATTCAGTGGAAGGACACAGAAACCATGCTGGCTATTTTAAGCAGAAAAAGATTTGGTTTTTAAAGATGGGTGTTTACGGGCTTGTTGGGAGATCCAGAAGAGGGGACCTTTCTAGGCTGTTCCTCCAGAAATAGGTCTGAACTGGGGCACTCGGCGGCCAGGGCAGCTGCCCCTTCCCTATGACCAGGAGACAGGGAAGCAGAGAGCAGCCACCGGATGGCTGCCATGGCCCCGGACCCCAGCTGACAGTCACTGCCGCTGCTATTGGCCCCAGACCCCACAGCATCCGCTTGGCCCACACCATCCTTCCTGCTCTGTGAACTCCCCGGGTTCGCCCCCACTTGGTGCATTTGCACCGACTCCTCCCTCCTCCCAGACACTCTGCTGCCACACCTCCACTTGCTGTAATTCTTCTTTTCATTCAGGTCTCACTTTAACTGAGACTTCTTTGGAGGGGCCTTGCCTGGCCATCAGCTGTAAAGTCACTTCCCGGTCACTCGATCTCGTCACACTGTTGTATTTTCATCATAGCATTGATCAACGCCAGATACCTTTCATTTGTGAATGTGCTCGTCTGCTTTCCTTCTCTATACTGGAAGCTCCATGGGAACAGGAGCTTCACGTCCTTTGCAACCCTTTCTCCAGTGAATGTGTGTTTGATGACGGAATGAACTAAGCATTGCAGTATTTTCATCATTACCATCTGGTGGGTGAAGCGTGGGCTTCCCATGAATGACTTCTCCGGGTTGGTGAGGGCAAGCATCTTTGAAAACAGGAAGCCTTTCTTGTATATAAACACTGAGATAATCTAGAGCAGTGGTTCCCAATATGGGGCACACGCCCACAGGGTGGCAATTTGATTTTTAAGGGGGGCAATTTGAGAATGAGTTATTAACAGTGAATTTTTGGCATTTTTTATGGTCCTAGGGGCCTCTTATACCATATCCTCCTATATAATAAAAGGCTAATATGCAAATTGTCCCCTAACTGGGAGTTCGACCAGGGGGCGGGGCCGTCCAGCCAACTGCCTGCAGCCCCTCCCCCCAGCTGGCCTGGCCCAATTGGCCCCTATCAGGGCGGGCTGGCCAGACCCCACCCGTGCATGAATTCGTGCACCGGGCCTCTAGTATAAATATATATTGTGACATTTATGCATTTCAGTTCTCTAGTACATGTTTTGAAATTTTATTTGCTTTTTTTCATATTGCTTCATATTATTATTATTTTTTAACAATTCCTTAATGATTTCTTCCTCAGTACTTCAACTGTCCTTTCATTCTTTTATTTTTCTCTTTCATGGATGCCATGTTCTTTGGAAGCTTGTTTAGACCAAGTTAATGGCCTTTTAGGAGTTCACTTTTTGAAAAATAAGAATTATTTGTCACGCACGGAGGGTGGGGGACATCAGGATTTTAGAGATGCTTAGGTGGGGCATGGCCAAAAATAGGTTGGGAACCACTGTTCTAGAGGCTGAAACCCTCAGCGTCTTTGTTGGACGTACTATGTCAGGTTCCTTACATTGCTGATAAGTTGCACAATGTCTTCAGTTCCTGACACCTCCTTCCTCACTTGTGCTCCCACTCGTACCCATGAAGTCAGACTCCTTTTGTGGACTGTGCTGACGTCCTGTCGTTTTCCTTCCTCTCCACAGCTTTTGGAAAGAACCAACGGTGGTTTTGAAGAATCAGATCCGGGTGCTACCAAGAGTCCACTCCACTTGGCTGTAAGTGAGATTCTGTGGGCAACTTCGCTTGTTACAGGAAGAACTGAAGCGTTCCTAAAACTAGGCTGCTCTGACGATGAAAGCACAGGCATGCAGACATAGCTGACCACGAAAACAGTGCCTGGGCAAAGGCTCGGGCACATCCACTGACACCCACCTCACCACCCTCAGTCACGCCCACCAACACACCCACTGACATACGCACACACACTCTGGATCCAGGGAAATCAGGTTAAAATGTGCATAAGTCTTTGTTCCTGGAGATGGATTTGGAATGGAAAATGTGGATCGGTAGTGGGATGCTTACATGGAAAAAATTCACACCGGTTCGCTTTTGGTATCGGTTGCTCTAAAGGTTGTTCCCTGAAATCTCTGCCCAACCATCGGCTGTGCCTGGGGAAGCTACCCCAACACCGAGGGTTCACAGACAGCACTACCACCCCCAGAGAGGCCTGTTGGAAAGGGTACCTCAGATGGAATCCTGATGCCCTTTGAAAGCGGGGTTGAGTGCACCGCCAAGCCTCCTTCTGATCTGAGAAGAGACTTCTCAGCTTCTAGGAATTCTGTCATCTCTCATTCATTTTTAAAAAGTGATTGTTCAGTGTTTTTTGCGTGCCTGGTGCTCTGCTAAGCTCTATGGGTTTCCAGTCCTGGAAAGACAGGGTGGGCTTTGGGAGTGAGGAAGTGCATGCAGAGAGGGGTCCCAGCTGCCAGTCTCCTCACTAGTAGCTCACCTGGACCTGGTTTCTCTCCTGTAAGTTAAAAGGGGTGAGTTAGTTAAGGATCCCCAAACCCTTTCCAAGTTGTTAATTAATTTGTTGTATGAGCTTAGCTAAGTATCTAACCTCTTGTGCCTCAGTTTCTCCACCTACCACATGTGGAGAACAGCAGTACCTTTATCCCAGGGCTGTTGAGGGAATGACATGAGCTAACACGTAAAGCAGTGAGAACAGTGCCTGGCGCCTGTGTGCAACCAGCAGCGTCATCCTCCCCATGATTAACCTGATGTCGGTCTTTCATTGACATGTGCCGACTGTGTCTGTAGTAAGCACTGTCCCAGGAGCTGGAGCTGTTGCCCTAAGCAAAGCCCGGGCTCTGTCCTGGTACTTTCCAGTCCAGTCCAGTCCAGGCAAGTGACCGTGTGGCAGGACGGAGGGTGACAGGTGCTGCGTGTGCCCCACAGAGATCGGCGAGACGGGGGTGGAGGTGGCCGGGGCGCTGTTACATAGCTCAGAGCCTCCCTCCTGCATGGACACCAGGGCTGCCCGCGTGGCTGGCTGACACCTGAGTGTTCTAGGCAGAAGCGCAAAGGTGAGGGCACGCTTGGCAAGTTACCGGAAGAGCCAGAAAACCACTGTGGCAGGGAGAGTGTGGCGTGGGGAGGGGACAAGGCCTGACATGTTGCCGGGGGGCAGGGAGCCGCGCAGGTCAGAGGGCCTCATGCTCTTGTAAGAACTGTGACCTTTCCTTTGAGCAAAATAGGAAGCCCTTTGGAGGAGTCCGAGGAGACAGATGAAGTGATATTACTTTTGTCTTAAAAGTGTGTGGAGTTGAAACTGTAAGGTAGACAAAGCAGAAGGTAGACAACCAGGCAAGCAGGGATGAGGATGCTTTTGGCCGTGGTGATAGCAGTGGGTTAATCCTAAAACATTTTAGTCGTGCCCTTGAAATGCAAACCGTTTAAAAATATATTATTTGCTTTGCCTTGGCTGGTTTGGCTCAATGGATAGATCGTCAGCCTGCGGACTGGAGGGTCCCAGGTTCCACATTCCGATTGAGGGTGCGTGCCCGGGTGGGGAGCTTGTGGGAAGCAGCCGATCAATGATTCTCTCTCATCATTGGTGTTTCTCTCTCCCTCTCCCTTCCTCTCTGAAATCAATAAAAATGAAAAATATTTTTAAAAATAATAAAAGCAAATAAAAATATATTATTTGCTTCAAGGACTCCCCAAGGATGCCATCTGCCTGTCCAGGGGCCTCTGAGGCAATTCACTGGATGAAACCCCAGGGCATTCGCTTCTTAGGTGGAAGCAGATGCCCTCCAACCTGCCGGCCATGGGACACCTGACCCACCTGGTTCCATTTCCTGCCGGAATGATCCAAGCCTCCAGGGTGACGAGCCAGGGAGTTCATGGGCATTTTCAGCCACTTGAAAAAATTAAATCAGGAAGCAGGGCTATGCAAATGAGGGCTCCCGCTGCCCAGAGGTCCAGATGGACCCATGGCTGCGCGGATTCTGTGAGGACCCCCAACTTCTTCCTCCTCGGTGTCCTCAGTTCCCATCGAAAAAGTTCAAAGACATTAATCATGTTCTAAAAATATGTTACCTACCGAGATTTAAGGAATTTCGTGAAACAGACTTAAAATGTTTGTTCCCTGCGGCAAAGGCTTACGCTGGGTTGTCTATTGAAAGCCAGCGCACTACGTGCTTTTTGAACCAGCGTGTTTGTCCTTTTGTGAGTTGCTTCCTCCTTTAGTTATTTCAGACCTTATTTGTGGAATTACCTACTGACCGCCTGGTGGAAGGTGATGGGAATAGGAAGGAGAATAGGACAGTTTTCATCGCGCACTGCTGACTCCCGAGTCCCTTTCAGAGAGCTTAAAGCTTTGTTGTCCGCTCTTTGAATAGACCCCAAAAGCCATATAATTGTCTCAAGACTGAATCATGCATTAACCATCAAAGAGAATTCCACAGGGCTAAGCTCTGAAGTGTGAAGATAAATGAACGTTCCCCTCCTATTGCCTTTGACGTTTGACGTTTAGTACGTCACTGGGTCTCTTCAGTTCTTATTGTAATGCAGATGCATGCTAAAATGCAGGAGCTGGAAACGGGGCCAGCGAACCTATGGCACACACAAACTAATTACTAGAATTCTGCAGCACACCAAAAGATGTATTTTTGGCCTCTGTATTTGTTATGGCCTAACAACAACAACAACAACAACAAAAAATAGGTATGTGTTTGATTGATTCACACCGATGGCTCTAGCGTTTACTGTTGTCATTTTTTATCTGACAATCTAAGGGAAAAGAGGTCAGTGCCCCTGACTAAGCCGTCAGGTATTGCATGTTTTAACCGTTCTTGCCATGGCACACTGGTTGAAAATCGATGAACTAGACTAAAGGCAAAAACCAGGATTCTATAGGTAAACCCGGACTTACAACCATCCTGTCTTTAAGGGACGTTTCAAGCTCCTGGTATAGAAGGAAGTATGGGATGGGATTCTGAGGCTTCTCTAACTGCCAGCAGGGTTCGCTCCGTTTTATTTTGACATTAAGCCTCTTTAGCTTGGACACATGCTAATGGGTTTAGTCGTTGCTGTGAGGTTTAAAGGGCCTCTTGGGGGAGGTGAGTTCCTACGTCAGCACCCAGCTTATGCGCCTGTGGTGCCCCTGCGGTGCCTCCACGCCCGCTGCCTTCCTGAGTCCGTCTCTGAGTCTTCTCTAGTAAATCTAACGTGTTTGCTGTCATGCTTCATAGATATGCCTGTGCTTTGTAAGTTGCCGGTTCTATTTTCTGAGGCTGTCATACTGACAGATGTGAACATGTTTGCTGTTTTTGTCTCAGGAGTAATGGGCCCGGAAGGACCACCATTTACAAATGGCAACTAGATCCTCCTGTTACCCACGTGGAGTCCTTTCCCCGGGTGTGACGTCAGGATGTCCACACGAGCAGAATCAGTTGCTGCCATTACAATTTAAATGTTTTTATTGATTTCAGAGAGGAAGAGAGAGGGAGGGAGGGAGAGAGAGAGAAACATCAATGATGAGAGAGAATCGCTGGTCAGCTGCCTCCTGCATGCCCCACACTGGGGATCAAGCCCCCAACCCAGGCATGTGCCCTGACCAGGAATCTAACCGTGACCTCCTAGTTCACAGGTTGACGCTCAACCACTGAGCCACGCAGTTGGCTGGGCTCTGCCATTACAATCTATTTATTTATTTATTTAATTTAAATTCTTTATTGTTTTAAAGTATTATGTAAGTCTCCTTTCCCCCCCCCATTGACCTCTCCCTGGCCGCCCCCACACCCCAGCACGTGCCCTCACCTACCTCCCCCTGTCTGGCGTCCATTGGTTTTGCTCATATGCATGCATACAAGTCCTTCAGTCGAGTCTCCTTACCCCCCTCCACCATTACAGTGGAAAGGGAGG